CGGCTGTCACGGGCCTTGCGGTCCGCTCCTGGCTGCGGGCCCGGGACCGACGGTGGTTCCTTCCGTAGGAAATGGGTCTGTGTCCGCAGGGAGGGCTGCCGGGGTGGGCTGACACGCTGCTGCCCTGTTCCAAGGGAGTGGAAACCCAGTCTAGCACTGGCATTGCATCAGTGGCAGAAACAGGCTTGGGGGCAGAGTGGGGAAGACACAGTAATCCCAAGGCAAGAAAACCCCTCCTGTTGTGTAGCAGGTGCCCAGGGTATTGCAAAGTATGCAGGAAGCTACTGCATCATCATCTCAGCCGCTGAGGTGGGCAGACAGTCAAAGTCAAGGCAGTTTAGGTTCAGGAGTGATTCCCTGCTGCAGTTTGGAAAATAGAAGACCTCAGAGGAGGCATGAGACTGTGAACACTGAGCACCACGCACAGGGCAGCGGGGAGAATCACCACAGGCTCCAAAGAAACCCCTGACAGATACTGCCTTGCCTGGGCACCGCTGCTTCCCTGCCAGTTGGATAGGCATGCTAGTCCCCTCAGACATCTTTTTCCAAACGCCTCCAGCAGTTAGGAAATTGTTATTTAGAAATAACTATTTCTTATTAATAGCTTAATTAAAATCAATGGAACACAAACTGTTAAAGTATCACCAGTGTACAACTGGTAACAGCCAGGAAAACAGATTAATAAAAGCTTTGGGTGTAAGAGTAATGTAAGAGTACAGCAATTTTCACTGCATTAGTATATACAATAAAGGAGAATCAGGCACTTGAATGTACAGGCAAACATTTTAAGGAAAAAAACCCAACACATTAAAGATTCAGAGTAAATTCCATTTTATTTGTTTTACAAAGTCCAACATACAGATTGTTTAGTCCAATGCTTCCACATCAGATCCAGAGCAAACCAAGTCATGTGCTCTTAACAGAACTAATACCACTGACTTCACCATCCCTGTTCCAAAAAATTATGATAACTATGGGATAGGATCTGCGTCTCGGATTTGATCAGCACCATTGCATCGGTATTCAGGTTTTTTCAATGTACAGAAATGTTAGCCCCAAATCATATCTCAGCACAACATATTTTACTTCAAAATCAGAGCTTGAAATTATTCTTTCAAGGACAGAAAACAACCTCCACTCTTGCAATTTGATTTGCCTTGTAAGTTTCAGTACATTTTATGTTTATAAAAAGGAATGTTAGAGACCAAAATCTTTATTTAAAGGGTAGGTAAATACAGCCAAGAACAGTGCAGACTTCTCATATACTCTCCCGGAGTTGGGTAACTTCAGCCTCACTGGAGCACTCCATTTTGGAATAGAACCATGAAACAAATCACTCAAACACAGCTGAATGAAAAGTGTTCTACATTTAAAGTAGTTTACCGGTTCTCATTTTTAAAGCTGTCTCAAATACTCAGGATTCACATTTGAAAGGGCCTCACCAAAAAGACAGACTGCTATATACTTCAAAAGGAATTTAACCATCATTGTTAACAAGGAGAGTAACTCATTTCAAGCTCTGCATTTAAAGTGACCATAATCTTTAACATCGCAACCAGCATATAACACATAATTTGTGACATTTATCTACACTGTGTTATCACCACCTATTACAAAGAGCAGGCACTGAACTTTTAAAAATGTTATTACAAATCGTAAAGATTACTTATTGCTGAGAAGTTAGAATCCATATTCAAGAACCAAGAAATTAAATACTTTTTGCAATGTTATTTTATGTATATATTTATAGATGAGAAGTTACACTCATTTTTGGTTTTGGCCCATTTCCCTCAAGTTCATACACAAAAATCACACTGAACCATGTAAGCAGGAGAGCGTTCAAAAGCTGGCTGACAATGCAGAATCCTTGCGAGTACCCAAAACCTGAGCTGGGAAAAAGTTATACTCTGTCAATAGTGCTAGGTTACCTTTTTTAATAAATATGCTCCCTTCCCATTGCTCCCCACCTGTCCAGGAATATGTAAGAACTACTGTTTTTCTGCCCTTCACCCACATGCACAATGCACAGATGTGCTGTACACTATACAACCAAGCTGTTCCTCAACAGCGCAGTGTCTGATCAAGTCCATGTAAATATTTCTTGAAGCACAGTGCAATTTTAGTCTGAAGCACTTCTCCCCCTCATAATATCTATAAACAAATAAAGCCTATTTTTAAATCAATATTAGAAGTCAACAGTCTTGTTTCACCTGCATCCTCAAAACAAGACTGTTTTGCTTGTTAGAAAGTACACCTACGATTGAAGATGTTTAAAGCGTTAGGTCTGCTTGGTGCTGCAGCCTGGGTATGGAACCTGCAGGAGTCCCAGGCTTCCGAGATCAAGTTGCCTCCAACTTACTTCTCCTTCATTTTTTTCAAATAACGAGCCCGTATTTGCTTGTTTGTTTTCATGAGTAAATTAATGACAGTAGGTGTAGGTAGAAGAGAGAAGACCCATCCCTAAAAAAAAAAAAACCAACAAAGGGGGGAGGGGGAGAGGAAGAAGTCTCAGCTTTTTGTAGCCTGTACGAAGTGAAATCTAACAGTTACCAGCATACACAAATGTTGCCAAGTTATGACTACAAGTTTAAGAACCAACATATTTAATATTCAAAATTATTCTTTGCTCATCTTCCATAATAAACACATACAAAGACATTCCAGACCCTTACGTCTTCCCAGGTGACTTACCATGAGCGCATGAGGTAGGCACCCGTTGGTCTGGGACTGCAGGCCTACCGTGCCCAAGGCAGCTCTGACGTACGTTCCAGGACTGGGCTTATCGAAGGTCGGCTTGCGGATTTTGGACATTTTTGTTGCCACATAATACGGTAGAACACTCTGCACGTAGGAAAGATCATGTTAAGCAGAGAATGATTTCAGATTAACTTACAGATCCATCAAGGAACTAGAATCCTTGGAAATTAGGTGATCTGTATACTGAATTATAGCTTAAAATAGTCGTCTTTGCAATTCTGGTTATAAGATCAGAATGTACAATATCAAAAGAATTTTTAATCAGATATCTTGTAGGCCACATTTGGAATGTGAAGGATAGATAGTTTAGTGACAGTCAGCACCCCCAGTTGGGGCCCTAGAAAAACTACTCATGCAAGCCTACGACTAAAAGTTATTTCTTAAAATTTTTGAGTGCAAAACTTTACAGGTGTTTAACAGAAAACGCTGCAGTATTGCTTCTTTGTAGTAAACTCCCAATGTTTGATTGGGAAGGAGGCGTAGAACCCAAGACAGTGATTTTTTTCTTGAGTAACAGCTCCTCAGTTAGGCACCTGTACGGAGAAAAACACGAAGACAGGAGGAAGAAGGAAAGGGAATGTCAGGAGACTTGGAACATTGAGCTTGTAACTTCACAGGAAGGCTCGGAGGAAGGAGGAGACATCAGTACCAGCGTGGAAGACCTTGATCTTTCCTTGTGTCCTTGAGAAGTGGAGCACAGTTAATGGGTTTTTATAGCAATGTTTGGAAGAAACAAAAAAAGTGACGGTGGGTCTCAGAACTATCCGGCCCCTGGCATAATGGAAAAGAAAGAGGAAACAGCATGGGGATGTGGTTGACAGAGGGACACTAGTTCCACAACGGCACGTCCATAGTCACACAAGATCCCCCAAGACTTGGGGATCCAAAGCCACATTCCACCTATCCCTAGCTCATGCTACTGGAGAAGGAAAGGGAAATGCATGTATATTTGCACACTAGGAAGCAACCCTCTTTCTCCATAGTCATGGTTTTGGCATTGCTTTCAACATGTCCTCAATCTAGGCCACTGAAAAAAAAAAATGTAATCAAAAAGCCCTGGTCTATAGCCACTCAGTCAGACATTGCCATAGCAGATCTCAAGCTTCGAAAGGTTGGAACCTTACCGCTTTGACAAGGACCTCCTAAAACATTGACAGTTTGTCCATGGCTGTACTAGTGATTCAATACATACAGTGCCCACTGCCCATCACAGCAGTGAGCGCTATGATTCACGTACCTTCACAGCAGATATCTGAGAAGTGCGTGGCCATTTACACTACACTAATGGAACTCAAAATGAGAATACCCCATTTCAAAAGTCAGTATATTTGGGCAAGTTACAGTTTGGAAACCTGCTTCTCCATGTTATTCTCTTAAAGAACAACGACCACACATGCTTGACCTCAGAAACATAAGCTTTATCACACTGTCAGAAGCATAGCACAGAGGGAAAGGACCACTTGAACTCTCATTGGCTATTTATCCACATGCACTTTTCAACAGGAATTCAACCACCACAAAGAGGAAGCATTGGTATGTCTGCTCATCCCTTCGCCTTAGAACATTAAAACCGTGCACTTCTCTAAATAGGACTTTCAAAAATATACTGCTCCACTTTCAAATGGAGACGAAAAAACATGGCGACCTGAATTTCAGAAGTGTAAGCAGTTACCATCGCCTTTAAAGTCACCAAAAGCTACAAATGCTTGGATAAGAAAACTAGTCATTCTGTTACCATAACAGCATGGGTACCTAGTTTCAGCTCCAGAATGTGAACCTCATCCATTTTTCAGATTACATTTCTAAACTGAATCTCCAATTTAGTGTTTTGGGTGTTTTTTTTTTTTTTTTTTTTTTTATAAAACCATTCTAAGCTCCTTATTCACTACCAAATTACATCTGCAACATCCCCACACAGAGCAGCACGATTGTTATAGTTAAGATTTATTTTCTGTCTTCCTCTGCTCAAAACAGACTTCATAAGTGAACTGCACTACCCAGTTAAGCCACTGGATAGCATGAAGGGGCAAAAAATTGTGCATGAGGATACTTGAAAAAGCAAGCGTAGGTTGCACTACTGGTTAGCTATTGATCCACAGACTTCGAGGCACACAGAAGCATAGGATTGTACTCCAACACTTTTTTTCCTCCCAAATGCTCTCTAGAAAACAGAGAAAGGTATTTAATTTCAGAAACAAAGATTTGCCATCTTCCCATTAACTGTGCCATATTTTAACAGCTCTGAAGAGACCTGTTGAATCCATTAAGTCAGTTTCCCCCCTCTTCTTCCTCCCTACAAGGATCTCAGACGTTCATGAACTACACTTAAAACTAGCACGACAGATTAAATAAATAAATAAATAAATAAATAAAATCTTTCACTGCCTAAAGCCTTTTAGCATTTTGCATTTGGGCAGATGTAACCCCACGCTCCCTGGGCAAGGAAGTGTATAGAAAATTCCTTGTCGTTATCCAGAGAAAGCCTAGCCTGCTCTTCAGTTTCAAGTAAAAGTAGCTTACATCGATACAGTGTCTCTTGCTCTCTTAAAACATTTGCTAGTACTTACAGCTCTGATGCTTATTAAAATTTGCTGACACTCAGAATTGGGGTCTTTAATGTTGAGATCAGTTCTTGCATCTATACAAGTCCTGAACAGAAGCCTCTACTAATCACGCTACATTCACATGAAAATAAGCCCCCAAAAGTCAGAATATCACCTATTTTACCTTACTTTTAAAAAAAGATCTGAACTCTTGAGTGTTTCCAAAGAAGACACTTTCCATTTCTCTGTGGGGAAAAGGAGGGTCAGGGATGTAAAGGGGAAATGGAAGAATTGCAGCAACCAAAGCTGAGCTGTAAAGAAAGCTAAAAAGCTTTGGAGGAAGGCAATGCCATTAATCTGGTGACAGCACATTTTTGTGAATACCTGCAGAGAGAGATAGGCTTGTTCAGTGCAGTGAAGAGGAGGCTGGTGGTGACCCAATACCTGCCTACAGTTATTTCAAGGGCAGTTATGAAGAAGAGAGCCAAACTCTTCTTCGTAGTGCTAGATAAAATAACAGAGAGGGAAAACTGTCTATTTTGGCTGTGAATTTTCACTAGACGCTAAGGAAAAAAACGCTTGCTAGGAGAGCAGTGCAACACTCTAACAGGTTGTCCAGAGAGGTCACAGCATCCCTGCCCTGGAAGGTCTTCCAAGATTTGGCTGGATAAAGCCACGACTAGCCCGTGACTTCGTGCTAGCAGCAATGCCCCTGCTAACACTACGAGAGCAGGAGGTTAGACTAGAAAAATTCCTAGAGATCCCTTCAAACAAACACTTCTATCATTCTGTCCATCTGGTATTTTATACAGTGGATGTGGTAGAAGAAAACAGGTAGTGGAAGTTTGCACTATTCCACTTTTACTATGGATAGTAATGAACTATAAGAAGGAAAAATGCCAATACTGACTTACATTTCAAAAGGGAGGAAAAGAAAGGGCTAAAGAACCGAGCAATATTTTTAGACATATTCAAAGAGCAAAAGTTTCAGAATAATCTGCAGAAATCTTTCAGGGAGAGATTTTTTCCAAAAGAGCCTGGAGAGAAGTCCTCGTCATCTTCTTTCTCATTCCTTTTCATTTTGCCTCTCTCTTTCTCTCCATGTAAACACACACAGAACTTTAACTTACACTATTACCGTGCTGTTTCTGTAAAATTAAGCAGGCCTGCCAGCCAGAAAGAGCATATTTTTAACCTAAAGATGTCTGCATTGCAATAAAAACACTACATACACCATCAAAACTAAGCTTCCAGAGAGAAGGCAATCCATTTGAGCAAAACCGATACACCTTTGGCTGAACTTCAGAAATTTGGCAAAATACCACCTGTACTGTGTTTCTGCCTTTCCCACAGTGGTATTTGGCAAGTATTGGCATGGTAAAAGTTAACTGCTTTAAATGGTGATCTCAACTGGAAGTACAAGTCTGGAATTAAAAGCAGTACATTTATGAAGGTCAGAGAGATGAACTTCAAAGAATCTAAAGGAGATGCAGTCTTCCAAAGGGCTTGAAGAAGATACGTCAGCTAGTCTTCACAGGAAGGTACCTGTAATATTCATTAGTGGTTTATAGTGACTTAGGCTGGAACAAGATGACAAGGACATGGACTGTAATAAAATTAGCATAACAAATTGAAGCTGTGACAGCTATTGGTCATCAGGCCCACATAACTCAGAATGGCAATTCCCTGTCTACATTTAGGGGCAAAAAAGCAGTGCTGTCAGGAATTCAGCACCCTTAGCCGACACAGGAGTTACAAAAAGACAGCTTACCACAACCTGTTACGTTTTGTATGGGAAAATACAATTATTGATACAGAAAGCCAATTTAATTCTTCATTTGTTTATAGTGTTAACAATGTAGGAAAACTGAAAACTTTTTTCCTAGTTTTTGTGTATCTAAAAGCTAGAAAATCTTTCCCATACTATCTACATTCATACTGTGTTTTAGCCAAGCATGAGTAACTAGGTTATTTACCTTTCCAGTTTCAATAGGTACTCCATAGTCATAAATGAGCAGTACCTGCTCCTTCTTTGTTTTCCTCTCAAACTGGCAGAGTACTATTTAAGCAAAATTTGGGGAGGAGGAGACTGCCTGGTTACAAATGCACACAGGATCAACATATCTCAAAGATGTAACACTTCTTTCTCCTGGTAGCATCTGTCTCTAAATACTCTCACACTGAGGTGACTATCAGCAGCTTTACCTGGGAAAACACCATAAAACAGAGAAAGAGCTTTGACATCATACCACAATGCACACACGCAGGCAAAAAAATAAATAAATTCACACCCAGCTCTATTGCCAGTGAAACTGTGTTGAAGGAGCCCATGCCTCACAGTTTGCAGGTAGGCTTGAGCAGGAAAGAAATCTTATCAGAAGACTTCATATCATCAATGTAGAAAAGAGAAATACTCTACCAGTTCTTTCAGTCTCATTTAGAGACTGGGACC